CTTCCTCTGTGCCTTGCACCAATTTGACTTCAGGTTTTAGGTCGACATGCCTATTTTGATCTTCAACCAGACGTTTCATCCTTAATGAAGTCAAGTTGCGCAACACCTGAGGCGATTCTACATGGGCCCTCCATTTCGCCAACCTCATCACTGCACTCATAAAAGGCCAAGGGACATACCCACTTGAACCCAATGAGATTCAGCTTCCGCTGCCAACGCTTTATGGTAAAACCTACTAGCGCCAAACCACTGCTTGCTTGCCTTCTCCACTACTCCTCCCCGATGCCCCGACCAATCCTAATGATGTTCTAGTAGAGCCCGCTGCCGCACTAGCCCCAGCGCCATCGCCATTTCGTATGACGTGGATGCAATATCAGTCTCTTTTGGATAATCAAGTTGCTATTCAATAATCTGTGGTTGATCTCCGAGTAGACTACCAGGCATATCGGGATCATTGGCAAATGGCCTTTGATGGGTATCAGCAGTCAGTTGCAACTCTGCAAACTAACTTCTACACATACCGAGAGTTGAGCCAGCAGCGGTTTGATTAGCTTGGCGCTAGGATTCATGATGAGGCGTTCGACACTCAAACACTGATGCTTGCCGTATTTGAGCTGCATTTTCAGACACCACTGGATCTAAATCAATGATCTTCGTTCTATTTTCTTTGTTTTATTTCTTTATTTATTTTTGTTTTGTTTTATTTTATTTTTTTCTTTTCCTTTAATACCGTATAGTCCAAAAAAAAAAAAAAACTCTGTATGTGTGTATTTGGTTCATCCCTGCCTCTCTGGCTGTGGGCCTACGCTGCCTAGTAAGATCTCTCTCTCTCTCTTTCTTCTTTACAATTGCTTACATTGAGGACAATGTTCTATTTCAATTTGGAGGGGGGGTGAGCGTATTTATAAAAATAATTCATGTTTGTGCTTGCTACACTTGATTGCACCACTTCACTTGATGTTCACTTTGTGCTAGTATGGTAGTGATATAAGCATATGTTAATTAGGGAACATTGTGGACTTGTATGAAAAAGGTTTATTTGGTAAATACTCGCATGTGATGTTTATACTAGGACAGTTGTTTGTGTTTGTGGTATTAGTACATTTGTCATGAGTATGCCTTGATTCACATAGACACACTTTCATAACGGTGACCTCTCTATTCTAATCCCTGGTGTACATCATTGATAATTGCTAGTGTGGCAGAAAAGAATAAATGACTAGCCTTGATTCTCAAAATAAAAAATAAAAATAAAATAAAATAAACACTTGACTTGTTTGGATTCGTAGCCTCTTTAACTCAAGTTATTAAGCCCGAAAGGGTGTCTCTACACCTAGTGCCCTAAAACCGTTTAATTTGGAAGTCATTAGCCCAATACTGGTTACATGGGTTAATTAGAAAGCTTAAAGGACCTAGACGTTACATAGTTGAGGAAAAAAAAAAGGAAAATGGCTTGTTCGGATTTGTAACTTTTTTAGCTTGAGTTATTAAGCCCGTAGGGGTGTCTTCACACCTAGTGCCTTAAAACCGTCTGATTTGGGAGTCATTGGCCCAATGCTTGTCACGTGGGTTGATTAGAAAACTTAATGGATCAGGATATTGCACAGTCTTTTCATAAAAAATAAAAAATAAAAATAAAAATTTGAGAATTCTAGTTACAAAAGTTTAATCTTGTCTGTATATGTTGAGGGTTATTGTGAGTTACACTGGGCTATTATAGTGGATAGTTAACTAGTATGGAGAATGCACTTTACACCAAGGGTACTGATGATGTGTTTACTAGCATTCACAAATACAGGAGACTTTACTTTTGTATTAACTGAATTGTGGTTTTGGCTCTATAGATTCTTTCATGCTTGTCCACTGTGCCTTCAATGACTCATCATGTCTTAATATCACACAGTAGTGGCACATAAGTTGATTGTTAGGTGGAGTAGTGTGGTTAATTGTTGTTGAGCAAATATGAATATGTTGATGTTTGTGGGTGTCATTTCTGGAAACCTTCACGAGACTATACTCGTCCACTTGGGGTAACCTTGTGGTTTAAAGGATTGTTGCATATGTTAAATGCAATCGTGATCCCTACGAAAGTGGCTTAGAGTTATTTTACTTTTCTTATTTCTTTTGTTTTGCTTGAGGACTAGCAAAATGTAAGTTGAGGGATGTGATGTAGGCCGAAAGGTACCACATTAAGGCCACTTAAATTATATTTTTAATCTTTCAATATTGTTTATTTGGCGGAGATGATGTGTTTTGTGCATTTGTACAAATTTGACAGGTAACACGCAAATTTAATAAAAAAGGGTGCGAAAGCAGATTCTCCATGTGAGGAATAAAAAAGCCTGGCCTGCCACCTCACCGCACGTGCGGCCCATCACCACTCGAGCGGCCCACCTAGGGTTACCTACATGAAATTTTCATTCTATTCTGTTGGGCATAAAAAGAAGAAAAAAGGGGCTGTAAAAGGGTTCGAAAATTATTCTAGGAAAGAGAGGCTAGGGTTTTAAAAAGGTGATTATTCTCAAACTTCAAAAGAAATTTTCATGGGGGCTTCCACCTCTTCCATCTCTTTCACCTCTTCCTATTCCTCCATGAGTGGCTAGGCTCTTCTTTTCTAGGTTTTTGATGAAACCCTAGCTATGTAATTAGGTTTTCTTTTTGGTTTTTGATTATGTAAAGGTTTGAACAATTGTATGGTGTTTTAGAAGTTTCAAATATATATTTTTCACTATTTCTTTGAGTATTTGGTTTTCTGTGATTGTTGAATGCTTTCCATACAATGATTTTCTTTTCTGTCATATTCAAAGTATGAGACGAGCCATACTACAAGGAACGAGTCGTTTTACTACCCTAGTTTAGAGCGAACGACTCGTACTACTTGAGATGGTTCGTGCCTATACATTGAATGTGATAACTCTTTTGATTAAAGCTTCGAACTTGTAGTTGCGAAGTATTATTTAGTTTGAACCGTAGCATAATTAATTTCAAATTGAAACCTTATTTACGTAACTAGTGGTGAACTCATTGCCTAGGTTTTTTGCCAAATCAGTAAATTCATCTTTATTTATAATTGCTAGTTTATTTGCTTTGTTTAATTTAATTATTATTAGATTATAAACAATCAATCTTTTTATCAAAATTAATTTAGGAATTTAGCATTTAAATTAGTTTACTTTCACAATTGTCTCTGTGGATTGATACTTAGACTTGCCATTATTCTAAGGAATTTGGTTTAGTTTAGTATTTTATATTTGGTGTGTGAAATGACCCATCAATAATTTTAGAAACTTTTAAATTTAAAATTTTGACTTTTCAAAGTAGACATACATTTTAGAACAATAAAAAATAAAATAATGGATCAATAAAATGGGACGGAGGTAGTATTTCACACTGAAACACTAAACACTCAATTTGAATAAGGTTATTTGATGAGAAAAATGATATGAAATTGAGTAAATTATAAATACATCTCTTAAAATTTGATTAAAATATGATTGCCCTTATAATTTTAGAAATTAAATCTCGTCCCTTAAAAATTTCAATTTCATAACAAATGATCGATAATAAATCATTAAGTCAATTAACAGTTTTTAATGATATCAGGAATTTATTTCAATTAATAATTTAGGTACTTTTATCATTGTATAGAAGTATAGGACAGCGGTTAAGAATTTTATTTTTTAGTTAATTCTGTTAAATAAAAAATTCTAAAAAGGGGTATTTATAATTTTTTAAACCACAATGGACAATTCATATTTTAATAAAATCTCAAGGGATGTATTTGTAATTTATCCTAAGAAATAATAAGAAAGGGAATTCTTTTATCATATTTAGTCTATAAGTTGAGTGTGGAAAAATGAAAAAAATGTAAAAAATAGTACTCTCTTATTTTCAGTTTAAGAGAGTGGCAGTCTAAAGAAATAAGGGGTCCAAAATAATTCATGGGATGCTATAGCACTACTCTTTTTATTTTGTTCTGCTTTGGTGGATTTCACGTGTGATCAAGTAAAATTAATATTTTGTCCTTGTTATATGGTAAGTAATTTGTCTTCTGTATCCTATAGAACTCATTGAGTATTTCATCCTTCTAGAAATTCAAGTCCATTTGATATTGATAGCCCCTTGACCAGATTATATTATTTTTAACGGTAAATATAATTTAAAAAATAAATTGTTGACAAAAATATATTCTGATCAAGAGACTAATAATATCTGATCAACGTAAATTTTTTATAGGAATGAAGTATTCAACATGCTATATATATTTAACGGTTCAGATCATTGAAATAGAACTCGTGGTGGAAAAAATTACTTGACATTCAGAAGTGGGAAAAATAATTACAAAAAAGTGGTGGTGTAACTTTTTTTGTGAAAAAATTTACAGAAAAAGTTGCACCCCAACTCTTTTGTAATTATTTTTGATCTTATGGCCCGAATAGTGATTTTCCCTATAATTTATCTCATAATTTATGTGTTGTTCAAACACTTTCAAAAAGTGTGACAATTTCTTTTTAGGTGATGTTATTAAAATTTAAAAATTAGACTCACTTTTTAAATTTGATAATTTATTAAAATATGTAAAATATTTTTTTTTATATTTTCTCTAATTTTAAATCAATCATCTCAGTAATATATCATTAAATTTTAAAAATAGATGTATTATTATGGAAAAGGTTTATCTCTACTTCACTTTGTAGATAAAGTGGATTAGATAGTGTGGTTAGGACCGTGGGCCCTTTAGAAGTTTAAAAATTTCAATGTAGAAAGTTCCTTAAATATTTTATTTATGCAAAAAATTATGTTGTTTAAATATTGATAGTCACTTGATCAGATCATATTTTTGTTAATAGTAAATATAATTTTAAAAATAAATTTTTGATAAAAATATATTTTGATCAAATAATTATCGATATTCGATCAATATAATTTTTTACCTAAATAAATATTTAATAAATTACACACATTAAACGATTTGAAGAACTAAAATGAAACTCGTGATGGGTCTACAAGGCCAACAGCACCGTCCAGTCCTTGGAGAGAATCTGCGCCCAATAATTTTCCTTTCCTTTCCTTTCCTTTTCAGCCAGCTGACTGTCCTGCTTTACCAGGTAGCAGTAGAGTAGCGGACATTCAGGAGACTGGGAGAATCCGACGAAGTTTGGACAAAAATGGAGTACAACAAGAGAGCTTTTTACGGGGACTCCTCATCCGGCTCGTCCTCCGATCGTCTCCCACCAGCATCATCATCATCAGCTTCCAATTCCAGTCAACAACTATCAAACCCTTTGCCTCCTCTACATACTCTTCGTCTCCACAGTCCTCCCAATTCTCTGGGTAACACATCTTTTAACGCTTCAATTCTCTCTCTGCATATGCATACATACACATATATGTACATACGATTTGAATTTGATGCTCATCAAGTGTTTGATTTTTTTGAGGAAGAAGGTGATAAATCAGACTACTTGCCAAATGGCAAGGCGAGTAGGATTCGGAGCTTCCCTCATGTTAAAGGCAACTATGCGTTATATGTCTACATCCCAGGTAATATTCTTAAAAAATGTCACGTTTTGTGTATTGTTTCCATAGATTTAGTACTAGTATGAGATACAACTCCAAAGCCTCTTTTCCATTTTAAGCTTAGAATTCAACTGGGTATGTGGATTTGTTTTTGGATGAGTTGAGAGTTAGAATGAAAGTGGTGGAAAGTAATACTGGGTTTGGATTATGGATTTGGGTAGGAATTTGGGAAAGAATTGGAAAGACGGGGTGAAATGTGAATAAAACATAATTATATTTCACACCCCTTTTCAAATTCTTATTAAAATTTATGAACGAAATACAGTCTTAAAAGTTAAAAAAAGAAAGAATCATATAAAATTGATGCCATTATGCAAACTTGCCTTTAGTTTTATTGAAATAAAATGAAATAAAATATAGGTAAATTATACCATTAGTCTGGTAGTTCAAGCGAAATTTACTTTAGTTTGCATAATTTTAATTTGAACAATTTGAAATCCGTTACTTACCATTATAATTTTTAACAGAAAAAATCACATACAAAACTAAAGGGGCTAAAGTGGAATTTAAAAGAAACATAGGAACTATTGGTGTAATGAATAAATTACACTAGTTGTCCCTATAGTTTCTTTTAAATTTCATTTTGGTCTCTCCAATTTTGTATGTGATTTTTTTTCGTTCAAAATGTGAACGATGCATAATGGATGGACAACATTACAACAAAATTAAAAGTATAAGGTTAAATTGTTTAAATTGAAACTACGGGGACTAAAATGATACTTAACTTGCACTACAAGGACTAATAGTACAATTTATCCTAATATATATATATATATACATATATAAGAATTGGTGAAATTGAAAGTAGTTCGTTATTATCTCTTTTTCTAATTTTCTAGCTGTTATCCCACTTTCTATTTTCTTACAAAATTTTAACAAAAATTCAATGACAAATTACACCAGTAGTCCTTATATTTTGTCTATGAAGTCATTTTGGTCTCTACATTGTCAATTGACTTAATTTTGACCATTAATTTTAGATTTTGTTCTAATTTGGTCTAATTGATATGACCATTAGGAGTTTTGATGGAAAATGATTATTGAGTTGGTTGAGATTAACTCATTGAACTGTGTAAGTTTATAACTTTGTCCCTAAAAGGATGACACATGGCACTTATGTGCACATTTTTCATAAAAAATGGTAACAGTTGTTATCAATTGAATCAAATTGAGACAAAATTATAAATTCAGAGTCAAAATTGAGCCAATTAAAACTCCAGGGATCAAAATGACAAAAGAGCAAATATATACTGGTGTAATTTGTCCAAAATTTGAACTTAACGAAACGTATACAAAAATATTTTTTTAATTTAAAAAAAAAATTTACTTTGCCCCCTCAAACTATCAAACTTCTATCACTTTACCCTTGAATTATCAATTTTAACAATTATCCCTTAAATTATTCACATTAGTTCATTTTATCCCAAACCTTTAGTGACATTAATAATTCTGATGGAATTATCACATTTGTTGGCACACACATGCTTAGGCCTCGTTTGGGAACAGGCTAATTTAGTAACTTTTTGGCTATTTGGCTAAAATATGAGCTAAAAAAAACTAGTATGCTTGGAATGACTTTTTGGCTTTTTACGAAAAGATGTGCAAAAAGTAGATAGAAATGAGAATCTTTGACTTTTTGATATGGATTGTTGGCTTTTTGACTTTTTTAGTAACTTTTTGGCTTTTTGGCTAAACGGGCTGGTTTCCAAACGAGGCCTTAATTGAGGGTATTGATTTACTTTGGTCTATAGTAATGAGACAGATAAGGAGACAAATATGTATATCTACCATGCAATAAAACACAACAAATTGTTTTGAAATTATTTAATAAAACACAAAATACAACCAATTGTATCAAACTATAGCCTCTAGATGCAGAAGTTTTTTTTTGTGCCGAAAAGTGTGATAGCCGAAAAGTGTGATATTTTGTCAAAAATACTAGCTCCATTGATGGTTTGGAGTAAAGTGAACAAATGTTAAAATTTTAAGGTGGTAAGTGTTCAAATTTATAGTTGAGGAGTGAAAGTGATACTAGTGTGATAGTTTGATGGAGCAAAGTGATTTTTTTTTTTTTACTCACTTTTCATCATATTTTTTACTCTAATCAAACAGACTGCCAGTGGTTAATGCTATAGTTAGGCTCAAACTCAAAAGTCTGTTCTTCCTCTATTCCATTTAGTATTGGAAATAATTGTTGCTTATGAAGAAATTTGAGAAATGCAAAGTGATTTTTTTTTTTTTTTTACTCACTTTTCATCATATTTTTTACTCTAATCAAACAGACTGCCAGTGGTTAATGCTATAGTTAGGCTCAAACTCAAAAGTCTATTCTTCCTCTATTCCATTTAGTATTGGAAATAATTGTTGCTTATGAAGAAATTTGAGAAATTTCATTCATTATGTACATCCCTATGTGTTTTTTAAGACGCCATTTCAGATTAACCAATATATTGTTGTCTAGTGTGTGCATGCTTGTGTCTCGGTAATCGATATTGCTCGAATGTTGTAGATGGCAAATTGGATCATGAGAATTATTGGTGTTGTGCTAGTGTCATTATGATTAAATTTGGAATGAAATCATGCAGTTTATCTTTGACCTTTCCCAACAACTGATTCAAAGACATCTAACGCGCATCACATTGTATTTAATTTGAGTTCCAGAATTAGAACATAGCATTAATTAAGTTATATGTCTCATTATAGTTCGTATCCCTTCTGCTCCAATGAAGGAGTTGGCCCAGTTTTTGAAGAAGGTCTCATCTCGTGTACCTGGTCTAAATGCTATTGACATTGACATCCCACTCAACATTTTGTGCACTGATGATCTGAAGCTTGAACAAGCTTCCTTGGGGAGAGAATTCCACATAAGTTTGGGGAGAACTGTTCCAATTCGACGGCACCAAATTGACTCGGTGGTGGCAATGCTTCGTCAGAAGCTTCAGTTTCAGAGCAGGTCAGATATATGTCCAGCTTATAATGTTCCAATTCAATTATTAAGAACGACAATGTGATGGCACATATATTTTATGATATGGGTTTCACTCATTGTTGTGATGTGAAACAGGTATTGGATTGATTTTAATGAGTGGGAGGTTTTTGTGAATGATGATCACACGCGCTCCTTTCTTTCAATTGAAGTTAAAACAAAAGGATTGGCAGAGGTAAGTTTGATAATGTCCTTTTGCACCACTTTTATCATGTTTTGAGCAGTTTTTCCTCCTTAAATTGGAACGCACATTGGTTTTATTCATATGTTTGACACTGCACTTTTATATGGTTTTAAAGTGGCAGGTAGATGTAAGTGCCTTCCAACTTCCAAAGACAATTTTACTTTTTCACACGGTGTGTGACACTAGCATCAACATGAGTATTTAGTAATAGCTCCTAGGATATATATTGTTTGTTTGAAAATGCCATTAATATTATTGTCATACTAGTCTCTTTAAGTTCTCATTGCTATGAAAACTTCACAAACTTTATATGCTGTCATACGTATATTGTCCTGGACAAGATATGGTCAGGGTTACGTCATTTTTGTTCAGTTAGGTCTTCCTCTTAGGAGAGGAATTTTTATTTATTTTTTAGTTGTATCGAGAATGTACTGGTTGTGCACCACATTATGTTACTTGATAGGCATATGAGTATTTTTTTTTCCTTCTTCTAGTAATTTAATGGGAAATTGGTCAAAATCCCTTCATAATAAAACTTTAACAAGCACAGAAAAACTTCCTTGAAAAGTCTAGCACACACCACTATTACCAAAATATTCTTAGTGACTAATTTAATATTTAAAACTTTAAAATAATATTCAGCTTGTTTGGTTTTGGTTTCCAGAAAACACTTTTTAGAAAATTTTTCTTTTTTATTTTTCGTATTTTATTTTGTTTTCAATGAATTTTTTCAATATTTTAAGCATTTTTTTTATTTTTATTTTTATTTTTTTATTTTTAGGCACACCTAACATAAATACACTCTAAAAGTATAATATTTGTGAAAAAAATATTTAAAAAAATCACTAAATACCAAAAATACAAAAAGAATACGAAAATTCAGTATATTTTTTTTTTATATTTGTGTATTTATTAATTTTTTTAAATATTTTTTCACAAATATTTTATTATTTAGATACATCTAAGTAAGGTGCATCTAAAAAAGTAAAAAAATTACTTAAAATTATAAAAATATTCACTAAAAACAAAAAAATACGAAAAACAAAAAAACTTAATTTCTAGAAAACTGAATTCAGAAAATTAAAACACACTGAACACTTTTGACCTAGATGTCGCTTTTTAATAAAATAAGTATTTTTAGAATCTTCCCACTAGTGATGTAATTGGTTCGGTACGGTCGGTATTTAATTAAAAAATTTTACTGAATCGATAATGTCGGTTCTTTTATTTTGAATACTGATATAGACTTCTTCTCCCATCAAACCGAATTGAATCGATCCGATCAAAATGGTTCAGTTTGGTGTAATCGGTTTAGGACCTTTTAAACTTGAAGGGCTGGTTTGGCAACCTTAGAAAAAGTCAAAAAGTCAAAAAGTTATCAAAAAAGTTAAAAAGTTATCACTATTCATAAAAAAATAAAATAAAAAATAAATATACAAATATTAAAATAAATCAACTTTTTGGCCCAAGATCGTTCCCCTCAAGTGACGCGTTGCGCCTGTCTCCGGGTGTTCTGAAAAGTGAGCAAGGGGCGCCGTATCGACGCCTGGGTGCGGTGAAAAATGGGCAAAGGTTTCCGCGTTTTTCTGGACGAGCGCGGGTAAAGAAGCTAGTTCAAGACTATAGGTTTAGGATAGCCACTTGGAACATAGGAACCTTAACTGGTAGGACGATGGAATTGGTAGATGTTATGATTAGGAGGAGAGTTAGTATAGCTTGCATACAAGAAACTAAGTGGACGGGAGAGAAAGCTAGGGAAATTGAGGATACTGGTTTTAAACTTTATTATAGTGGTAAGGATAGACGCAGGAATGGGGTAGGAATCATAATTGCCAAGGGTCTTGTGGAAAGTGTGGTGGCGGTCATTAGGAAAGGAGATAGGATTATGCTAGTTAAATTAGTTATTGGAGGGAATATAGTGAACAGTATTAGCGCTTACGCCCCTCAAGTAGGGTTAGATGATCAGACTAAGAGGGATTTTTGGGAGCAAATGGATGAGATCTTACAGGAGATACCCGTAGGAGAGAACCTGGTTATAGGTGGAGATTTTAATGGCCATGTGGGCATAGATAAAGTAGGTTATGAAAGGGTGCATGGTGGATACGGTTTTGGTGACAAAAATGAGGCTGGAGAGAGAATCTTAGATTTTGCGTTGGCTTCTGACCTGGTGGTGGCCAATACTATGTATAAGAAGAGGGAGGAGCATTTGATAACCTTTAAGAGTGGATTAGTTAAGAGCCAAATAGATTATTTCTTAGTGAGAAAAGTGGACTGCTAAAATGCAATGATTGTAAGGTGATTCCTGGAGAGAGCCTGGTCTCTCAACATAGGATTTTGATACTAGATTTATGTTTTAGAGGGCAATACCAAACTAGGAATGATGGTGGGCGTCGTAGGACGAGATGGTGGGACTTAAAAGGGGATAAACTAGAAATATTTAAGAATCGAATGGATAAAGAAGGTACTTGGGACTTAGAAGGTGATGCTAACACTATGTGGAATTCGATGGCCAATTGTATGAGGAGAATCTCAAGGGAAGTGCTTGGAGAGTCGAAAGGAACGGGACCCAGCTCTAGGGAAACTTGGTGGTGGAGGGAAGAGGTCCAAGCGGTAGTTAAGGCAAAAAAAGAGTGCTTTAAAAAGTGGCAGAAGGATAGAACTGAGGAAAACCTTAAGAGCTATAGATTGGCTAATAAGGAGGTCAAGAAAGTAGTGAGAGAGATTAAGTTGAAAGTTTATGATGACCTATACACTAGACTAGATAGTAAGAAGGGGGAGAAGAGGGTATACAAACTTGCTAAGATACGGGAGAGGAAAACAAGAGATTTTAATCAAGTAAAGTGCATCAAGAGTGAGGATTCTAAGGTATTGGTGAAGGATGATGAGATTAAGGAAAGATGGAAGAATTATTTTGAGAAACTGTTAAATGAGGAACATGGAAGTACGACAATAAGGGAAGAAATAATCAGTAATACGATAAACCAAGACTATAGAATTTATCGCAGGATTAGGAACTTTGAAGTGGAAATTGCACTTAAGAAGATGAAATCAAATAAAGCTTTAGGACCGGATGATATCCCTATTTTTTAAACTAAAAATTGAAAGCCTTAGAGGTATTAGAAACCAAAATTGATTAATTATTTGTACTCAGTATAATTTTTAGAGCCTAATGAGAAGTTTGATAAAAAAAATTGATTCATAATAAATTAATTAGATTTAAATCAATTAAACTAAATTTTAGATTGTTTAACTTAAGTTTTGCGTGATTAAGCCTAATCAATAATTAATCTAATCTAAGTAAAGTTAATTAAGGAGCCTTATATATATATATATATATATGGAGCACATAGTTTATTTTATTTTTTAGTTCTGTGTATCATTGTGCTACAATCTTAAAACTTATTTTGAGAAGAAAAAAGAAAGAAATATATACCTATTTTCTTTACTTGTCTCTATATAGTAATAATAAGTTGATAACCTAATTAACTGGAATGCTATTTTTTTTCCCTTAAAAGCCTCTATTTTGAGGTGGACATTGCTATCTGGGCAGAGGAGAAGTGACAGTAACAATGGAAGCAAAGAAGAAGTGAAGATTGAGAACCAAAAACTACCTAAGAGTGTACATTTTCGTTATTTAGGGTCGATTATCACAACAGCGGGAGAGATTGATGCAGATGTGGCCCATAGGATTAAGGCGGGATGGTGTAAGTGGAGAAGTGCGTCTGGGGTATTGTGCGATAAACGAATACCCACTAGACTAAAAGGTAAGTTCTATAGAACGGCTATTAGACCAGCTATGTTGTATGGGACGGAGTGTTGGGCAACCAAGAAACAACATGTAGATAAGATGAGTGTGGCTGAGATGAGAATGCTAAGGTGGATGTGTGGTAAGACTAGACAGGACAGGATTAGGAATGAGTGTATTCGGGAATGGGTAGGAGTAGCACCGATAGAAGATAAGTTGAGAGAGAATCGTTTGAGATGGTTTGGTCATATTCAACGGAGGCCAACAGAGGCAGTAGTGAAGAGATGCGATGCTGTAACGATAGATGGAAGTGTTAGGGGACGGGGTAGGCCTAGATTAACGTTGACTAGCGTTATAAATAGAGATATGAATCTACTTAATTTAACTAATGAAATGGCCTTTGATAGGGTCGCGTGGAGAAGAAGGATTCATGTAGCCGACCCCATTTGATGGGACTTAAGGCTTGGTTTGGTTTGGTTTGGTTATTGGTACAGAGGTGATCAACTAGTCAGTGACAGAGAAAAAAAAAAAATTACAACTGGCCAATCACAAAATTGGATGGTAAAGTTGGGCTCGTGGGGGGCCACCATGGGTCCCGTTTTGATAATCTGAACCATTCAATATGTAGAACTCGTCTAGTATTATATGCCTACAAAAAATCACGTCTATCGGATATCGCTAACTACATGATCAAAATAGTTTTGTATAAAAATGGATGGTGTTATAGTTAACAGTTAACAAAAAAAACTAACACGATCATATAGCTATCGATATACAATCAACGTGATTCTTTACAAGCATATAGTACTCGACGAGTTCTACACATTGAACGGTTCCGATTAGAAAAATGGGACCCGTGGTGGGCCCCCACGGGCCAAACAACACCATCCAATCAAAGCTCGAGAAGGAGACAATATTTTCTCATCTACTCACCCAGCCGACTCCACTACCAATCCACTGTTAGTCCGTACGGCCTTCTATCCTATCTTCTCCTACACACTTACTTATACAATTTTTTAATACACATTTTTTCCATAAAAAGTCAAAAAATTAACCCAAACATCCATATTTTTTTTCTCAACTTTTTAGTCCAAAAAGACAAAAAGTGCACTTTTTTAGGACACCCCAAACAACAATATAATCACTAATCTATATAAAAACATTAAATTAGTTAATTGTCCACTATTTCAAAGGGGTACTTATGTGTAAGTCCTAATAAGTGGACTTATTGTCTAATAGGTTTTATGAAAAAATTTGGTCATTAAAAAAGTTACTAATTGTAAGTTTTAGCGACAATTTATAAAAATCATGACAAAAAAAAGTCACTAATTGTCAATTTTTAGCAACATTTATAAAAAATTGTCACAAAAAAATTATTTTTAGCTACAATTTTACCAAGACTTATTTTCAATAGGACTTGATGAGAATTAAGTCAAATTATTAGGACCTATTCGCATGACCAAGTGGCCATCCAATATGCATCTATTGAGGCATGCTTGACCCTACGACACTTCGAGATGCTATTAAAGACCCAACGTGCAATGTTGGCTTGTCGGCTAAGTCGAGGGCCTTCGCTAACACATTGTTGTGTGGCTAGGCACCTTGGTGACATAAACCTAAGTTGGGCGAGCACCTTGCTGAGGTAAGCTTGGCGCTATGAAGCGACTTATGCCGTGCTTGGTGCACTTGAGGCGTCAGGCCTACTTGTGGCATCCGGGTGAAGACGGAGCTTCCTTGTGAAGTTGTTTTGCTTGACAAAGTATTGGGCCCTAATGTTCAAACGGGTGAGACCATCAACACTCGATTTGTCAACGAGCTATGGCGGGCTTAAACTTGGTGGAGTTTGAGCGCCACACGGGCGAAAATTGATCCGTTCAGTTCTGAAACATATCCAATCCATCCATTTAATAAATATTTTTCAATTCTTAGATTAACAAAAATAAAAACAAAAAAAAATTAAAAAATACTAAGGTTTCAAGAATAATGAGTTAGAATTAAAATTGTATATAATAAGAGTTTATAAACTTAGGCTATAAAGATGATAAGGTTAATTAATTAATACTTATTAATATCATTATATTATTAGATTATATATATATATTATAAATGCAATATATGTTGAAGTGGTCGGTTTCGGTTTCAGTGTAGTTCGGTGCACAAGGTGCTTGAACCTATACAGAACGAAAATTAACAAAAATCAAATTTAAAAACCGCACAGACCGATTCTTGTTAAAAAAGACCAAATATAGTTGGTTTATGGAATGAAAACTAAAAAAAATCAAATTTAAAAACCGCACAGACCGATTCTTGTTAAAAAAAGACCAAATATAGTTGGTTTGGTCCGGTTCAATCGGTTTGATCGGTTTTTTCGATTTTTCTTACATCCCTATCTCCCACAAAGATCTAGGTTGACTATGAAATTCTTTTTTTTAAAAAAATAGTAGAATTTTTATAGTCGAACTTGATGTAAATAGTAAAATTTTACTCTGATTAACAGTAAAACTTTATTCTGATTCACAGTAAAGTTTACTATAAAATTTTAATTTTTAAATTGTAAAACACTATAAACACCATAATCACTATAATTATTAATAAACAATTACAAAAGCATGACTTTAGCAGAGCAAAATTAGATAATAACTTTAATAGGGTAAAATTTTACTGTAAATTTAAAGTAGAGCATTAGCAAATAAATGACAGATTACATATTATTATAGCAAATCAGAGTAAAATTTTACTATCGTTTAAATAGAGTATCAGCAAATAAAACACTTCGACATATATTATCAAAGCAATCTAAGTAAAATTAATCTAATAATGATTGAACGAATTATTAAGAATCAAATAGTGATTGAACGAATCTCTAACTCTAACACGAACACTAATTGAATGAAGTGATCGAACAAAACTCCAACTCTAACTCGAATGATGATTGAAATATTTATCTATAAGAACTTGAACCCAAGCCTTGAGTCGGCATGCTATACAAGAACCACAGGCCCCTCACACTCATCAATTATTAGCAGGAAGTCAATCTCCCACCCATTAGTGTCTTTGTGAAGAAGCAAACTAATGAAAAAACAATGTTTTATATTGTAACGCCCCAAATTTCTAGCCCAAATAATAAGACAACAATCATGGCTCTTTCAAGGAAAACCGAATATAAATCTCCAAACTTACATTACATGATACAATCGTTCTTTATGCAACAATACATTAATCCAACAACAAGTAAATAAACAAATAAATACCCTTAAAGGTTTACAAGTTTCCAAGGGTTGAGTCTGGTTACACAAAACGGTTATTCAAACCCACACAAACGCAACCCTTGGCTTACACACAGAGTCACTGCAAAATGAGAGCATTGTATCCCCAACACATACTTCCATGCCCCTAGTTGGGTGGGATCACCACATCTTTTCCTGCACAAAAATCCCGTAGGATGAGCATAAAGCCCAGTAGAAAATTCTTAACAAAGTATATATGTTTTATACAAGTCTCATGAGATGAAATGCACATGCCATGCTATGTTCTTTTTGAAGATAAATTACATTTTAATCTTTTGAAAACCATCATGCTCAATGATATCATGCAATTTCAATTGTTCAAAATTTAACAATTTATTTCAAGGGCGGTAAATACAATTCTGGTAATCCCTAGGTCGGTGTTTGCAAGTAGACTATACAAGTACCACCAATTTGTCATTTTTACCGGTATTAACAAGAAGGCTCAACACCTATCTGCGCGGATTTTCGATCTTTCACCCTGGACTCTCAGGCCAACTTATTCAATATCATCTACACCACCTATCAAGACTTACCAACGTATTTACCCCAAAATCATTCCATGAAAACTTGTTTCTCAACATTCTTTTCTCAATGCAAGTTTTTAAATCAACTTTCGAAGTTTAATGTAATCAAATGAATTGATATGCCAATAACACAAGATGAATATAAATACTTTTATTCCAATTCATCATCCAAGGAATAACACAATTCTCTCTTTTCAAGCATCCTCAACAATTAGTCATTTTAAGACTATTTCAACGTTTTGAACAACAATTTTCAAAATGAACAACAATTCTCATATTTCCTAAAATTCATCATTTATACAAATATAAATAAGAAAATTTTCAAACATCTATTTATTTTGACACACAAAATAAATATAACAATATTATTCATGGATTTTCAGTCTCTTTTAAAAAAATTCCCAAATTCTAGGTTTTCTTACAAAAACTATACAACTCAAATCTTTTGAAAGAAAACTTTCCAAAATTACCTTTTCGTCAATCAACGAAGATCAAAACCCATAAGATCATTTTAAAAGAACAAGAGACAAACCCACTTTCAAAATCGCTCAACTTTTTGAATCAACAATCAATTTTCAAAGCTATCGAAAGATGATTTCGAAAATCATATTGATCTTGCAAATATATATATATAACTCTAAGAAAATCCCTAGCTCAAGTTTTGAAGAAGAAATGAGATGAAACTTCCAAAATCAACGGTGTCGAAACTCGATCTTCACCGCACACAACGAAACCCTCGAGAAGTTAACCAACTTTGATGATGAACTTATGGCAGAACTCTAATGGATTTTGAGAAATTAAGGTTTTGATCCAATTTGGCGTAGGGGAATGTAGAGAGTAGGGAGAGGAAAGGGTTTTTAGAGAGAGAGATATACAAAAGTGATCTGAAATATTAGATTCACGAACTGATATAACATGGTCGGCTCGAGCGTGGAAAGCCCCGCTCGAGCGTCAAATACACTTTCTCAGTACTTTTGCAAACAGGTCAAATTTCTGAAACCAAACATTCTCCGCTCGAGCGCATAAACGGCCGCTCGAGAGGACAAGCAACTTCTAATGCATTTTGCATTTTTGCTTCGGGGGCGCTGCCCTTTAACCTCGCCAGGGCGCTGCCCTATGACCCGCCAAGGGACGCTGCCCCCTGGACCCCTGCGAGCTGATCGGGCAGTTCGATTCCCTCCAGGACGTTGCCCTTGGACCCGCCAAGGGGCGCTGCCCTCTGGACCCCTGTGAGCTGACTAGGCAGCTCGATGCCCGACATACTAAGCGAAGTGGCAAAACTGGGATCGCTACATATATGGAATATATATGAACCTATTTAGTACCTTAAAATCGATCACGAAATGCAAGAATTTCAAATGAATTGCTGTTAAACGAAAAAAGAAAAAATTGATCTTCGCCATCTTGAAGATTTCTCTATTACTTCTCACAAATCGTTTCCAGTTGCTTATCACTGTCCACAGTTTCATATGAGCAGTAGCATATAAAAATATTTGTGTACTAGAATTTTTAAGTGACTGCCAATAGAAGGACTTTATGCATATGGACATAAAATAGCCCATAAAATTGTAGTCTTATTAGAATATGGACTTTATGCATTAAAGACATTGACCGGAGGTTAATGCATTTAAGATTTAAAACTTGGACTTTAAGAAGGAAGCTGTTAGTGTGAAGGGCTTATGGCGAATTTTCCCTAATTTAAATACCATGTCTCCTAAACTGTGAGATTCAATTAAATTTCAATGGATTTCAGATAAGGAAGCAGATTCAAGCTGTTAATGAGGTTTACAAGCTTCACAATCTTCCTGAATTTTATAAGGTTTGGCTTGTTATTAATTGTAGTCTTCCACAAGTATGTTGATATTGCTCAATCAATTGAAGTAACAATTGAAGTTCTTTATGTTATCTCTTTTTTTATTATTTTTTCTTTTTTTTTTTTTTTGGTCTAAAAAAGTTTGGTTGTTGATCACAGGATCCACGCCCGCATGTATCCTTAGCTTGGGCATTAGGTGACATCAGTGATGTACTGAAGAGAGTGGTTGAAGGGAAAGTGAGGAGATGCACTATGGTTGGGAAATATGCAAAGCCACGTATATTTACCTGCAAATTTAGCGGCATCGACTGTAAGATAGGCAATAAAACCTACAAAATATGTAAATTCCAAGAAGACTATGAAAGCTAATTTTATTTTCAAATTTCCAGAATACCATATCTACTAAAGGTCACCACTGTTGATTGACCAACTTTATTTCTGAATTTCATCATTATCATCAATGAATTATTTAGACTTGATGTTTTGTACCGGAAATTATATTGGGTCTGCTTCTAGGGTAAAATATGTAAAGCCACAAATAAAGTGTGTTTGCAGTTCTCTTTCTTCTTCTTCATTTTTCTTGTTGGTTCTGAGCATAAAGCGAACCATGTTAATTGAAATGGTAGCACCTTATCGAATGTGTATAACAATGTGAAAAAGCATATAGCTCTATAACATGTTAATCCAGATTTTCTGGAACATGGATTCACCATGATAGTTCTTTTGATCATATAGTTACCTTGTGATGCTTAATCTTCTAGACATTGAATATGGAGAATTCCTGGTTGAAGTCTATATGCAGTTAGATGTTAAAAAGCATATAGTTCTAAGTCCACAGTCATTGTGGCCAAGCCTTTTAGCATTCAAACTGTCAGTGGCATTGAATTTGGAGTGAAATGGCTGGATTGGGTACATTAATATGACTGGTGCACTTTCATTGTTCTAGGTAAAAAACATTCATATAATACAAATTATTAAAATCCAAACAGTTTTCAGACAAGAATTTACAGAACACGACATATCTTACAGCTCATACACAGCACTATATTCTGCCAATAGAGAACCTCTAAATTTGAAGCCTTAAGGTGAAAAAAACCATTTAACTCGGGGAGAGGTTTTCTGAATCATTGAATAAAGTGTCTGACATTAATAGATATCAAGATTCCTTGTGCATTTCCATGGCAGGTACTTGCAACTCGAGCTGCAAAAAATGGCAAAAACCCTGGCAGCTGCCAAAAGCAGGGCAGGACTTGCTAGGCAGAGCAGATTGAGAGGTACATTTGGCGATATTTTGGTTATTAAGCATGTATAAGATCCAAGCAGTGAGGACAAAGAGATTAGAAGCCATAGTTTCATGGGTTGCTCATCTGTGAGGTATATAATCATGGCTATTGATGTAAAAAACCCTGCAGAGTTGAAGAATATGAACAAACCTGTTGGAATAATTATATTTTGTTGGAGGGTGTCAAGACGGCACAGTGCTGTATAAAAGGTCATAGTTGCTACCACTACTGCTGCTAGTAACATTATGTTATACGCATCATCTATTGGCAGTTGTTTTAAATTTTTGGAGGATTTGATGAAGGGGTCATGTGAAGGCTGTTTGTTAAAAATGTTCTTGATGTCGATAAGAACTTCATCTCTGCCATTGGGTAGGCCTAGGTTTGGTGTGGATAAGTGTCTGGCTTGTAAAGCTCCTGCTCTTCGGAGGATCTTGTCGATTTCCATGTCCATCTGTTTGCCACTTGGCAGTTGGACATCAAAGCTGTCCAAAGCTGTAAAACCACGGGCATTCACAGTATTCACCTCCACTGAAGCCTTATTGGTAGGATTACCCACAAGCAATGTCTCCAGAGTCTGCATGAACAATGAAGTAAAAACTCAAAAACAAACAGAACAAAAAAGTATTTCTCTGTATTGAATTTTCATGTCTAAAATAATACTATCTGGGCTGCTTTATATTGCCTACTAATAGTGAAGAAAGGTCTCAATATGTGCTGATTATTGTAGAGTTAAAATTTAAGATATCTGTTATTATAGAAAGTTAGAAGATAAAAATAATATGTAATTACAATTTTAGTAATTGGTATACCTTTTGTGTCACCCCCCAAGAGGATTGACAATATGCAAGTCAAGCCCAATGGAAGCAGCCTGATAAAACCAAAACAGAAGATGACTGTTGAATTTTCTTTCTAGCTTGTTCCAAATTTCAGATGCTCACACAAAAAAACATGTGTATATGTTTATTTGCACTTCATACAAAAGTAAATATATTGCATGTTATTGAATGTTAAGTATGTAAGAACTGATTTTTGTTTTCTGCTCGTCATTTATGTTTTTCTATACGTCAACATTTAATTTACTGATATCTCTTATTTCATCACTCATTCTTGTCTGGTCATTTTTTTGAAATAGGTATATTGATTGTTTTTGACATTACATCCTAAAATATGAGTTCATTAAATTTGATATTGTTTATTAAAACAAGTTATTCTTTTATTGATAGATTAATTTGTCTTGTGTTAATTTACCTATTTCAACTGGTCATTGAAACTTATATTTCAGCTATAAAACTTGTAGGACAAAACAACTAAATATGATGAAAGATGATTTTTTAGCTAGTTAATCACATATATTGAGAAAGACATTGTTTGAATTTTTGATGTCGAATTTATTTTAGATGCTTTTTATATCATGAACAAGTGTCAAGTACAATTTCACATGTCTAAATATATAGCAATTATTTTTATCAGTTATTTACTTTTTGTAAGTTATACTCGATTGTGTGTTCATATTCTTATACTCAATTATGTTGGTAGTAATCCTTAGTTTGATAATATTATTCATATTTTCTTGATTGGAGTTGCATACTTTCAACCGCCAAAGTTCAAATCATAGATCCTGTCCCTGATTCATGCATGAGAGGATGAAGCCAATTCAACAATTGAAGCAGACAGACAACAAGACAACATCAATAACTAGAAGATGAAAAGAGAGATTTTGCCTGGAATTGTTTCCTGGAGGTAGCAAGGTGAAGAACTGTATTGCCACCACTGTCCTTGGCATTGATGAGTTCCTCCGCCTCACTCATCTGATTATACAGGACTGCAATATGAAGAGCTGCCTCTCTTCTCTCAGTCTCCACCATGACAGACTCAGGCCACGCATCGAGCAGGGATGCCCTCATAACTTCAAGCCTCCTGTTCACAGCTGCACTATGAAGTGGTGTCATCCCAAATTTGTCATTGAAAAGACATAGGTCTTTGCCAATATTGCATTTGATTAGGTACTGCACAACCTCACGGTGTCCCATGGAAGAAGCCAGGTGCAAACAACCATACCCATCTTTGTTAAACTCTCTTGCAAATTCAGGCTTTCTTGGTACCATCTCTCTCACTATTACTATATGCCCCAACTTTGAGGCTGCTTGTAATTGAGTTTCATCTGATGCTACCGCGGTGGTGGAGTTTTCATCTAATGCTACTGCGGTGGTGGAGTCTTCGAGAACACCTGGGTTTTTTTCGAGTAGATTAAGGAAGTGTTCTTTATCTTCTGTTGCAGTTGCTTCAAGTAACAGACTGGCATTAGGAAAACCATCCAAGTATTGTTTTGCTCTTGAATGTCTTACATGTTGCAGAAAATCCATTTTTTTTTGCTTAGTGAAAAGTATCTCATGTCTTTAAATCAAGGGAAGGGAGGGTATAATATAATGATCATGAGGTCATCACTGCTGTTGAGGATATGTACAGTTTAAGTTTTTAGAGGGATTAGAGGTCATTAATTCAATATGGTATCTTAAACAAAATTTCACAGTTAATCTGATAATTATAATATTTACATGTGTTTGACCCGTTAATAAAGTAGAGACTGGTCACACATCTGTCATCATCTTTATCAAGTGGCATTGCAGATAGATATTTAGATTAGCACGCTATCACGCTACCATGATTTACCTCCATTATTTAAGAATTAATGACTTCATGAACAGGACAACATTGAGGTTGATGTTTATCTAATGACTTTGATTATTCAACAACAGAAACATAAAAATGTCACTTAACAGAAATTGCTAGGAATGTTCGAAGTTGGGAAAGTATTGCACAGTCCAACCCCAGAAGTTTATTTTTTTGTTGATCGGAAACCCAGAAGTTGAATGGGTAGACTATATGCAAGTCTTGGTCATGGATGAATAGAATAGCTAACCAAAATTTAGTTGAATTTTCCTACATGATATTTGTTTAATGTTACCACACACTCATGAATAAATTTAGAAATATACAGATCAATTTATTCTAAATGTGTCCAAAAAATACATCAACATGTTGTGATGATCATTTATTATTATTATTATTATTATTACATGTATTAATATTGTATTGATTTAATACTTATTAAGAATACAATATTAAGACAAAAAATATAAATAGGATAAATTACAAATATATCTCTTGATATTTGTTTAAAATACAAATTATCTCATGTGATTCTGAAAATTATATTCTGCCCCTTAAGGTTTTTATTTTATAACAAATGACCCAGTTTATTAAAAAATCATCAAGTCAATTAACAGTTTTTAATTATATTACAAATTTATTTTAATCAATAATTCGAGTAACTTTATTATTGTATAGGAGAGCAATTAGGAATTTCATTTTTTTAGTTAATTTTGTTAAATAAAAAATTCTGATAATGAGGTATATATAATTTTTTAAACCATAGAGACAATTCATATTTTAAACAAATTTGAGAGAATCTATTTATAATTACCCAATCTAAATATGATCAAAATACCAACATCATAATCTTATTGTAATATTATTCAAAATGTAAAGGGTTATGTCAGAATGATTCATGAAACGCATGCTTAAGTTTATTGAGTGCTAGCTAATCGAGTTAGTTTAATTGGTCAGAACTCTAACATTACATGTGTTGTAAGTCTTATTCTTCGTGTATTAGTCGGGGTTTTCTCTCTCATTTTGAGAATTATTTTATAAAATTGTATTTAATTTTCATTATTATAATTATAATTTATTAAATTTTATTATAATATCTTATATAAATAAAATAAAATAAAATAAAGCCTACTAAATGTCACAGTCAAATCACTTAAAGTTGAAACATACTAAGAGACAAAAATACTTATCTTATATAAATAAAATAAGAAAAAAAGGTTACTGAGTGATAGAAAGTCTAACTTTTGGACGTTTTGGAAACTTCATCGACTTTTGCATACAATTATAAAGATTTTGCACTTCAAACTTCATTGGCCTACAATGTTGAATTTTTAAATAATTTAGTTCAATTAGTAATAATCATTTAGAAATTAAATAAAAAATAGAAGATAAAATTATTTATTCACTCTTCACAAAGTGATCAAGAGTTAGCATTTAATTTAAAATTGTGTTGCTAAATAATACCTACACAAGTTGCTATTAGCACCTACTTAATTTTTTTGGACCCTCTATTTCTGTAAACCCCCAATCTAAACCCTAAATTTTAATAAGATTTCTTTGAATACTCCACTTAATACTAATTTTACTCATATTCATAATATCATCACACTTAAGTGCACATCCACCTAATTTTGTACACCCTTTCTTCTTCTTTTTCTCTCAGTAAACAATGAACGATTGAGAGACGAATCGACTGTCTCTCTCATCTCATTCTCTCATAAACGATGGTCTCTTTCTCTTGTCATCATGAATGACAATATCTCAGTTGGAAATCTCATTGGAAATCTCTTCGACAGTCTCTTTCTTTTTCTCTCAAATAACCTCCAACTCCCCATCACATATATATATATATATATATTTGGGTTTTTTACGGGATAAAACCCTCGATACAGGGGGTTTTAGAGGAAAAAATCCTTAGAAAAAATAGAAATAAAGGAAAAATCCTACAAATTGGAACCGTTTGGCATTCCAATGCCGAATAAAATGTTTATGTTAAGCACTGTATTACTAAACTTAATATTTCTATTCAGCACTGTATTATTGAACATAATCTTAACAATCGACAAACCAGTACCGAATCGAAAATGACCCATAATCGTAAATGCAAGATAGATAAATTTACCAATGCAACAACAACCTCATCAGAGTTATTGTAATCGTCCTCAATTACTCTATAAGTATCAACGAATGGTGAAAATAACCATAAATATAGAAATTCAGAGTGTAATAGGATTGTTTGATTTGGAATACCAAACACATTTGAACCCACTAAACAAAACATTAACTGATTAGGTGGTTTCAAATGTTTTTCATTAAAGATGAATATGTGGGTTTAAGATGGTGATGAAGAAGAATATGGTTAGGATTTAGGTTGGTAAGGAATACGTATAGATGGGGATGGAGGTGGGTGTACAGTATTGTAGAGTGTTATTCTAATTGTTTTCATTTAGTGGGTGAGTGTTCCATTAAAAGTTGTCTTTTAATGTAATTTTACTTCAGAGTATAATTGTAATAAAAAAATAGTGAGAATTGACGGATCCAAAGAAATTAGGTAAGTGCTAATAGTAACACTCGTTTTTATTATAATTTTATCTATCCATAAAATTTCATTTTTACCCTTTTCTACCATCCAAATCTCCTCTCACCCCAGGCACCAACCATCATCACCATCTCTAACTGTCATCTACAGTTCCTTCCCACCTTTGGCTGCCACTCCCCGGCACCTCTTCACTACCCTCTAACGTCTCTTCTGCAACGTTTAATCAAACTTTTAGAGATGATTCGTCATTAACAATTTGATTTTGGTATAATGAAAAGGGTTGATTTTTTCTTAAGTTCAAATTTGAATTTGATTGTCATGTTCAGACTTGTGGAGCCCACCACCGTCCCGTTTCACCAAACTGTTAATTTTGTAGGACCATTAGTGTATATCATCCACAAAAAAATTTAGATTGATCCGATAATCATAAGTTTTTCATTTTATAGCATTTGTCTCTAAAAAAGTGGATGGTCTATTTTATAAAACACTCTTATCATTTATTTTTTTCAAAAACAAATGCTATAAAATGAAAATATTACAATTATTATATCGATCTAATTTTTTTCATTGATGACATACACATAATAGTATTTATTTTGAAAATTTTAGCATTCAGATTATTGTCAGCAATTTATTTTGAAAATTATATTTATCATTGACAGAAATATGATCTGATCAAGTAGTTACCGATATTCGGTCAACGTGATTTTTTTTATAGGGATAAAGTATTCGACGAGTTTTATATATTAAATGGTTCGAATCATCAAAATAGGATTTGTGGTTGGCCTCTACAAGCTCAATAGTACGCTCCAGTCCGATCTCAGACTGGAGACAAGCCTAGCCCTTATATAATATACTAGTTCTAATATAATATTACAATTGTACTAGACACAATGAATTTACATTGATACTGTACATAATTTTTTTTTTAAAATTTAATTGTTAGGAGAGAAGGCAATAAAAAGGGGGAAAAAAAAAATAAAAAAATAAAAGAACGTTGCTTTGTTTAAATCCTAAAATAATAATAATAAAAAAAATAAAAGAGCTTCTTTATCTGAACCCTAAAAAAAAATGAAACAAATACAAAATCGTATCGCTTTCATCCGAACACTAGGTATAACAGGTGAGGGATTCACAGTAGTGACCCTGACCTCTCATGATGAGAATGAGGGATATGATCTTGCATTTAGGGGATATTTGGAATGAGTCTGGATCCTCGGCTGCCCTCTCGTGCGGCGCCCCAAAAAGACGTCGTTTTGGGGCAAAATTTCAATTGAAAAAAAAGACAGAACATGAGCAAACCAGAGAGGGAGAAGAAGGAAGGAAGACGGGAGAAGAAGGAAGGCAGTAGCAGACCCTCGGTCTCTTCCCACTATCTCGATCTAGATCTAGGGTTTGGCCGCTTCCACTCCCAAGCCGCCACTGTCGCCCAATCACCCCACCACTCCTTTCAATCTCTCTTCTCTCATACCATCGGTTTTTTTCCTCTCTCTCTCTCTCTCTCTCACATCTTCTCCAAAACCTCTCAAATTATGAAACCCATCTCTCTTCATTGCTTTCTCTTCTTCCCACTCCAAGAAACGGCGGGGCCAATCCCGTCATCCTCTCAGTTAAACCTACAGGAGAAATTCCTAAATCAACCAATAATCTCGAAGAACTCCTAATTTTTTTTATCAATTATTTTGTTTGTCAGCTTATCAATCATCCCAATTCAAAGGAAATTGATTAAAAAAAAAACCACCTCTTCAAAACTGAACTAAAACTCTAACCTAAGAACCCCCAAGATCAGCTGACAGTAACACCCACCAACATAACGCTAATCGATATGTATTTACATAGCTTTATCAAAGCTATGATCTTCACCAACCAGTTGTCTTTGAGCTTGAAGAAAAAGAATTAAAAAGTTCTCCAACTTTAATATACAGAGAGAGAGAGAGAGAGAGAGAGAGAGAGAGAGAGAGAGAGAGAGAAAGCAGATCTAGGCAGTCGTAGAAGGCGGCGAAAAGCTAGTGATTTGCGGGGGTGACCCAAAAAAGAAGAAGTCCGGATCTGCCGCTGCCTTCCATCTTTTCTCTTCTTCTTTTCTTTTTCTTCCTCTCTAGTTTGCTCCTACTCTGTCTTTTTTTTTTAATTGAAATTTGCCCTAAAACGACGTCGTTTTGGGGCGCTGCAGGAGAGGGCGGCCGAGGATCCGGACTCATTTGGAATAAGGGTAAATTACAAACACACCATCTGAGTTTTACTTAAATTACAAATTACTTCTATAGTTCTAGAAATTACATTAT